GTCGCCAGCCACTGTGGCTGTGTAACTTCGACAGATATACAGGGCATCGTGGCCAGATGCCAGGGCAAAGACGTGCTGTTGTGAAATTTCTACTCCCGTCTTAATCATGACACAGTCTTCACAGTGTATGGCCATAACAACACACAAACACACACACATCTTTGTTTTCATAGCTTAGCGGGTCCCTACTCCGTATTAGATTTATTTCTGGGAGACTTACCCTACCCTTAACCATAACCACTACCTGCCTAACACTTAACCAAAGCCGTCATTTGCTCTAATTTTACATTACATCGTTTTCATAAAATAGGACAAACTGCGTTATGAAGACTGCCCTTCAGTTCCTACAAGTAACTCCGGTCCCTGCAAAGTTAGTGTGCTCCCGGTTTTCAGTTCTCACAAGTATAGAAAAACAAGGCCACACACACACACACACACACACACACACACACAGGGTTTTATCTCATCTGACATTTAGCCCTGGACAGATGCAGTCACAGCAGCCTCTCTGTCTGCAACCTTTGAAGTGTGTTTTTCCTGTGACTTCTAATTCCCACAAGAAATCTGTCTGTAGAGGCACCTTTGGCTTCAGGAATTCATTATTTAGTTGGAATGGGAAGAGTTAGAATATGTGTGAGGATTTTGTCTCTTTCTGACTTGAACTTCTATCTGACACCCTGTGTCTGACATTTCATCAGACACAGTTGTGACCATAAAATGTAGTTGAATAGAAAAGCATTTCACAGCAGTCATTTGAACTTGTCATATCAGACGGAGCACAAATGGACCTAATAACACTGACAACGCCTCTGTTCCACTGAGAGGTATGAGCAGCCATGACTTACAATATTCGTTACACCTGTGCTTTTCGTGATGTGATGTCACAATATGTCTTGTGTACAAAGCCCAAGAAGCCTGAAAAAGTGTTTACCTGGAAAAATGCTGTTTGCAGAGTTCAAGCCAAAACTCAGAGGGCTTCAGAAGTACATACTTTATTTGATATGTATTATGTTTTAAAAATGATCAGTCAAAAAGCTATACATGGCCATATCTAGTAGTTGTATATGTGTTGTGTGCCCTGTCAACAGGTGGTGTTTGTGGATGGGAATGGTCTCTTCCACTACAGACGTAAGTCAAGCTTGTCTCTACTGACCCAGGAAGTGTTTTTGCTTTGTTGTTTTATAGAAGGATTATGTTTTATTGAAAAGATCAATATTAATCTGATATCTAGAGCTGAGCTGGAGTCAAATGGTGTGTTTAGCCTATCTTAGATTCAAGTTAAGGAAAGACTCAAACAACTGCTTCCAAAATCACAAACTGTTGTTTTTACATTTCTGTTTATGTACAGCAAGTGGTATTAAAACAAGATACAGTGTGTTAATTAGCAGCTTTAGAGGTGTTGATATCCATATTTTTCACTTCCTACAGAGCCAGGCTGGCTGTTTCTTCCTTTCTAGTCTTTATGCTAAGCTAAGCTAACCATGTCTTGACTCCAGCTCCGATCTTAAAGGATAAGACTGGTAATATTCTACATTTCTCCTGTTGTGAATAAATCTAACGAAAAGGCCAGAAATAACAATAACTGATACTAATGAGCACTGTCTGTTGGCACAGCTTATTCCTCTGTACCACAGAGCTCCAGGCTCTAAATGTACTAAAAATACACCACTGAGCCACACCACCACACTGGACATGTTTTGTTATTACCATGAACATGGGCACTGTAATTTATTTTGAGTCAGTCTCACGTGCACCATCCCTATGCTGGAGGTAATCAGTGGAGGACCAAATGTGTAGTAACCTGCTGCTGAACGTGGTCCTCAACAAATGCACAGTTACTTCTGTTTGACTAACACTTGTTCCAGATTACAGTGCCCACTTGTTTAGGAAATTAGTGATCTTAGTTTGAATGACTGAATCTGTACACTTCAATGGGCTGGGGGCTGAGTTGAACAGACTGGGTAGTGAAGTCTGAAAGTATTGAGAGACAGACGAATACACTAGTGTTTAGGGTTTATAATAGGATTTGCTGACAATCTTATAAAGAAGGCTGACAAGCCCATTTCTCAAAACATTGAACTATTCCTTTAAGCAATCTTATAACATGGAGAACTGGAGATGAAGGACAAGACAAAGAAATACACACTTCATTTTAAATACATCTGCCTGCAGGGGACACCTGACAAATATATAGAACATGGGTGTACAGTGATTAAGTTAGTAAATCAGGAATAGATTCAGGTCTGTGCTGACCTCATCAGAAACTCGTATAAAGAGTTCAAGGTGAGCACAGGCCCAGCAGGTTAGCTGGATGCAATTTTCAAGCTGTCTTTTCTCCAACTCTTTTAAAAAGACAAGGCGAAACAAAGGGTTTTGGTCTAGAGTTGAATGTGTCACTGTTTGGACCCTGCAGAGTTTGGCCTGGCATGTCATCTGGGAGTGCTGTCAGGGTTGCCCTGTGTGGGTGTGGCCAAGAACCTGCTGCAGGTGCAGGGCGTGCACAAGAATGAGGAACACCAGTCACAGGTGAGACCATCACTACTTTCTGACCCGAAGATGTGCATCACTTTTTCTTTTCTTTTTTTCTTTCTGTTTTTGCGTGGTTTGTCTTACAGAGCATATTGATATAACAAAGATGCTGATAAGCTGATGTGGTGCTTCATATGTAGTGTTTTATTTTAGTTGTGTACAAAGGTTCCTCCTGTAAAAGAGCAGCCAATAGATGAATTATTTAAGTTATCGTGTTGTGTTTTGTTCATTGCATTCTTAAAGTGGCAACGAAATGTCAGAGAGGGATGAAGCAGAGGGCAGAGTCATCAGTTGCTTTTCAATGTGCACCTGTGTTTTTTGTGTGTATAAAACCTCACACTTTTATTTGTATGTACAAGTGTATGTGCGTTGGTGTGTACATGGTTTTGACAGTGTGACTTCTATTGTGAGCCGAGACCTCCTAGTGTAGCTACTGCTAATGTGACTTTCTGAATACAAATCAAGCTGGAACAAAAACCTCGTGGTCAGAGTCGACCTGTGGGACGGTGAAATCTGGACGTCATTAATATGCAAATGTTCCCTTTGTTTCCGTGTGGAGCCTCAGTGACCTGTTGAGGAGAGAACAAAAACAAGTTAAATCTGCCTGATGAGCAGGCACCTGGCTGCTGTCTAAATAATAGGATAAGCATAGTAAACAAACAAACATATACACTCACAGCCTCTTTATTAGGTACACCTGTATAATTGCATGCAATTCAATACAACACTTCAGCCTTAACATCTGTGTTTATGAAGCTCAAAATTTTTCAGTTTTTGGTGAAATTGTCATCAATATATAAATTCAGTTTTATGTTTATTATTGAGGTCATAGTTAAAGGTGGTGTTGTACTGGACTACATTATATACAGGGGTGTTCCTAATATTCTGACCCTCTTGTGTATGTGGCTGAGGAGGCCAAAATATAGAGACAACTCTCAGCAGTGTTTTTGATATGTGCATGCCATGCAACAGATACACTCCTATATAATTCAGTCCGGGTGTCTACACTGCCCGTATGTCGGCTTGCATATCACTCGCACTTTATATGTGTAGCTGCGACCTGAAGTCAGTCGGAGCTATGCAGGTAAAACACTCTGCAGTATCCACCAAAACAATAATAACTCACTAGTTCGAACCAAAACTCCACCAAAATAGAGGAATACATCAAGTAAACGTAGTTAAAACACAATCTATCATCTGTTACATCAGTCCTACTGAACATGGCAGTTGGTTTAAAGTGTATTTTCCCAATGCACCAGTAAACTCCTTGTAGAGACAAGCGTGAACCTCTCATGAGCTACATGCCAGATGCTCTGTGCTGCACACGTGATGCTTGTGGTGTAGACACGACTTAAGACATTTGAACCATGTCTCTCTATTTCTGATAAGGATTTCTAATGAAAATATTTGCCTTTCTGATAAGCTTTGTATATTAAGTACATAACTTCTACATGTAGGCTGTAGGTTCATTTACACAAAACTCCCATGCTGTGTTTTTTTTTATATTAATAATTGAGCTCAAGTGCATTCCTAGAGGAAAATGTCAACATGCATATTCTTTGTTGATGATGTTGATCTATAGAGGAAGATCTATTTCCTGTAATGCTGATGACAAATGCCTTTCAAACGTTTCCAAGAGAACCAGACTGGACAGCTCTGCTAACTCCATTAGCAGGCAATACCCTCTCTGTTTATATGCCCAGCAGTCTTCATGTAGTAGTTTAACATGCTAATTTAATTCTCTGTGGTGTGGCCATCTCCTTCAATTAGCTTTAGTGGCTTTGGCATCAGAAAATGTTGGTTTGTCTCTGCTGTGGGGAGGAATCTAATCCCTCTGTTTGCACGGAACACGGTGATCTCTGAGGATGCTGTCACACGCTTACTGATACAATCTGGGCTAAAATCCCAGTGGCTCGGACATGTTCAATTTAGGGATCAAGTAGCATCGACACTATACGTCCACCCTGCGTTTTTGGACTCAAACCTTTACACGTAGCTTTGGCTCAGTTGCTGTGCATGAAATTTTAGAACTCCTGTCCGTCCATATTGATGTAATTGCCACTCTCCGGGGCTCCATCTTATTTGTCCACAGGCACGCACAGAATTGCGATGCCTCAAGTCAACACCAGCTTTGGTGTTTCATCGCTTGGTGGGAAATTAGATGGGAAGTATAATCCGCAAAACACAACCCATATCAGGCTCCCTACCAAATTTCAGAAAATGAGATATTTAGAAAAAAAGATTAGCCATTACCGGGTCTACACGCACACCGCCATGTATTGCTGACAAGCAATATGCTGCCATACTCAATTAGACGTCAGGAAGAGCATCCAAAAACATTGCCAGCATGCTGAGAGTTTTCAGAACCCAGTATGCCATCAGAGAAGCATCTCTGAAGGTTACAGACACAGCTTTTTCTCTGTTGTAGTAATTAAATAACTCACTCAAGATTTAAGGTGTGTGTGTGTTTATCTGATGCAGGAACCCAGATCCTCGAAGGAAATCATGTGAAAATACAACACTTTCCAGTAAAAGTATTGTGTGCTGATAAAATGTAAAATTCATTTGTCTTAAATAATTTATGTTCATAGTCAGCCTTCAAGATGCCTCTTATACTATAGGAATAGTTCCGAATTTTGGGAAACTCAATTATTCACTTTCTTTCTAAGAGTGAGATGAAAACCAGCTAATTTCGCAGGATTGCAGATTTGATTAGTGAAACCATATGCACACAAGCAGTGTGTAGTCTTTTAAATGAGCTGAATCGTTTGTATTGGTGTTAATGTAGGGGTTTAATTAGATTTTGATGTAGCTGCCAGCAGTGTTGGCATTGCAGCCATTTCCTGACCGTTTTGTTGGCACGTCTGTTGTTCTTTCCAATAAGTGGGAGACACCGTATCATCACTGTCAGAAATGTTTGATATTTTTTAATTCAGCGTTACTGCTCCCAGACTGAACACTGACATGGACGTTAAGGACAGAGGCGAGAGTTGTATTGATGTTCTCATCTCACACTGTAGTGTTTCTTCTTTGCAGTGTAAAGTCCCCTCAACACTCACTGTGTGCATTAAAAAGTGTCCTTGAACACGACCCCCCAATCATTACCTGTTCTCTAGATGTGTTGTGCTACTTGAAGCTGAATGCCCAGAAGATGTACTCAATGTTCTGTGTCTGTGCTTGAACAGAGGCAGGGGACGGCAACGTGTTTCTATCTGTTCTGTGTATAAGATAAAACAAAAAAGGGGAAAGAGAAGAAGATGTTTCCTTTCTGTCCTTGATGCACTTTTGGAACATACCCTTGTTGAAATGTTGTTCGGTGTCCTTCAGATCTTAGGTGCTTGGTTTTGTCTTCCCCTCCTCTCTTCTCGGCTCCAGTGGAGCTACCTCTGTCTCGTTCTTTGCTAGTGTGTTATTGATGACTTGTTCTGTCTTTCTGACTTCTGCTGTTCTGGCTTCAGTTCTGCTCTTGCTTCACAGGAACCAAACCTTTTTTTTTTGCATACACATACACTACCACACACTGCTGGCCTCATCCCAGCTGGGATCGGAGGCCCCGTGTGACCCCTCCTGTCTCCCCGCTGGCTCTTTGCTGTAATCAGTCATAGTAGAGCAGACACCCCATCCATCATGGAGGCTAAGCTCCCTTCATCACTCTGGCCCATAAGCCACAGCAAACCTGTCGACAGCAGCCTGCAGCAGGACATGTGACTTTGCCTCGCCTCTTCTAGTGTAGCATGCTATTAAATATCAAAGATTAGCCAGTGCATCAAGTCTTATTTGAACTATCTGTTATTGGGGTTATTTGTGTTCACCATGATAGATTTAATAACACATTAAGCCACTGTGGATTTGACTTTAAGGTCATGATCACACTGGACACTAGTTTATCAGGCTCAGGCTCTGATTGATCATAGTGCATAGACATTAGTGTGGGTTTTGTGTTCAAGATTAAAACTAGAGAGAACTAAGACATTCTCATTCTGTTACACCATCTCTTACATAAGATTTTCAGAATAAATATATCTGGAGCTCTGCAATGATTATCAAAAACATTTTTGATGAACAAAACCACAGAACCACATCCTCCTTCCTGTATTGATTTTGGTAACTTTAGCTGAATCAGTTACATCTCGGGGTCAAACACAGGAAAGACATTCATGAATGTAAGGAATTGTTGCCAGATGAGCAAGTAAGCCTGTAAACCTGTAATCTGTAGCTTTACCTGGATAAAACACACACAGAGAGCTTTGTAATGCAGTGTGATGTGATTTACTGATGCTACATGTTAAAGGTACAGGTACATTAAAATAGACTTTTGGGCAACATTTGTACCAGTATGAGAACATTTTAATGTTTGACTTAGAATAACTTTAGTTGGAACTTTGCATCCCTTTCTGTTCAGGAAATAAGATTCATTCTTTTTTACAGACTTTTTTTTTTAAAAGTGGAGTGGGTTGTGATACGATGGAGCAGGGGTTAGCACTGTCGTCTCACAATGAGAAGGTTCTGTGTTTGAACCTGCTGTCCACCAGTTTGGATGCTCCCCCCATGTCTGTGGGGGTGCTCTCCGGCTCCTTCCCACAGTCTGAAGACATGCAGGTCAGGTTGACAGCGGTAGACTGGCGACCTGTCCAGGGTGTACCCAGTCTTGCCCTGTGTCAGCTGGGATTGACTCCATATAGTTTCTACCCATTTCAGAATTTTGGAACATGAAAGTTAGGTCACACAGAGGTTAAAAGAGAAAGTGGAGAGAGTGTGAAGCCTCCCCAGCAGGTTAACAGTTTGTTTCACTTTGTTGCTATTTGTTTTGGCATGCTGTGCATCTTTTTGACTTCAGTTTTTGTTCCTTTGTTTCTGCAGATCGCTGCTCTGCAGAAAGGAGGAGACAGCTTCCCACTCACAGCCGCCTCAGGCAGAGTGCTCGGAAAGGTGCGGCAGAGGACAGATGCACAGAAAATAGAAACAAATACACCTAACAAGGGTTGTTTTGCTGCTGCTGCTCTCTTCAGAGAACACCCTGCTAAAAGTCAAACTCAACAAGACAACCTTTTTGTTTGTGTCCAGGCATTACGAAGCTCAGACAAGAGCTTGAAGCCGGTGTACGTGTCAATTGGCCACAAGATCAGCCTGGACACGGCTGTTCGCCTCACACATTCCGGGTCCCCGAACCCATCAGACAGGTACACACACACACACACACACACACACACACACACACACACACTTAATGTTGAGTATATGCCCGAACAACCCAAACCAAGCCTGCCCCAGAGAAAAGGGCAAGAAGCAGAAGAATCAGTGATCAGATGATACAAACTAAAGTGTGAGGCCAATCGTTGTGTTGCAAAATGAGAACTGCTCATCACTCGTGCAATAGCATCCTGCTGTGAAGCAGGGAGGTGTGAGCATCATGCAGTGTCACGCTTTTTCACCAGCAGGGCTTGCCAGGCTTGTATGGGAGGAACAGAGTCTGCAGCCAAAGTAGGAATTTCAGATTTTTAGCAAAAGTATTTATATACTTAGGATGAATTCAGCCAGACATGTGAAGCTCTGCCCACTTGCTGACAAGTTGGTCACATTTTTTTTTTCAGTATATATATTTTTGCATGATTGTAGCAACTGTAGATATCAGCTCTTGGAGTACTGGTTTGTGTACAGTATACTGTCTGTCATCGTTGCTTCTGCCCTATGCAGATTTAAAAAGTGAACATGCTGCAGGATAACGTGACATGCGACAAATTATCTAAGAAAACTTGTGGTATTCACAAACGGTCTCATATTTAAGGGGCTATTCACGCTTTGCACGTCTGCATGTCCGTATGACATAACTTTTGTCATCTTCCCAGGCCCGTGAACATCCGCATGGACTCTGTGTGGATGTTCACGTGCAGGCCAATACTCTGCGTGGACAGTCCACACCTGCAAAAGCCCTGACTGCACATGTACTGCAATGCTCAGAAAACACTGCCGTATACAGACAGAAGGCAGACCCTCGATTTGAAGTATGAATAGGAATGTGTGTGCATACCCTCGTTATTGTTCGTGTAAGAACGAAGGTATGTGCGAAGTCTGTCTTGCCCTTTAGATTTTTGTTTCAGTTATATAAATTCCTGAGTGGCCAAGGTCTGTTGTCCGCTGCAGCTATATGTCCTTCTGCACAGGGGAATATGCTAGTTTGACTTATTGTACAGGTATAACGCTTGAATTTAAATGAGTGTATATACAGTATGTTCGGACTCAAATGAGACTAACCACTACTGTAAAATTAATATTCCATTCACTGTATAAGCCTGATATGTTGGGTTTTTTCCCTCTTAGGTTTTATTAGCTTTGGTTTGACAACTCCTACAGTTCTATAGTTGGGAAAATGTCACTCTGGACAGGTCAGTGTGTAGAGTTGTCATTTGCACCTAACATCACCTATAATGGGACATACTGTAGTCTGATGTCCATCACGTCACCTTGATCAGCTCCTCTCTGTCATGGGCGGCTTTGCTTTAGAAAGATGGTTTGTTGCATCTAATTTCAAGTCAGATCATTCCTTTTTTGTTTCTGCCATTATAATGTTTCCTCATTTGCACTTGTACTGTTATTAATATATTATTATTAGACTTCTGACACATACAGTATGTAACCATATTTAAACCTCCAAGTTTCATGTTGGACCTCAACTAGTGGCAACACTAGTTGTGATGTCGTGTTCATACACACTCTTCTTTCACTCAGATTTAAGGATGCCTTCTAGTGTCAAACTGTGCACATACATCACTCTGCATAGTCAAGGTCAAACACCTGAAGAACATAATAAATCAGCAAAGTACAGATTTGAGAAGAGAGGGAGATGAAGTTTTCTTTGGCTTTGTGGTGACATATTTAAATGGATTTTGTCCATATAATGGTAAATAAGGTTGTTGATTATGTGAATGATCAAATCTCATGAACGTGCATGTCCTCATGTACAAGTAGCATCTATTCACCAGGTTAAATTTATGACAAGATTGTGCAATTTATTAGGTTTTTTCTGTTTGCTTTTGCTTGTGAGTGGTTAAAGTTTTAGCTCAGTTATAATAAACGGATCTGAATCATTAGCCAGAGGTGCTGATTAGGACCGCTATGAATTTTTTAGTATCCTAACACTAACTCACTTCCTGCCTCAGGCTTTTCTTCTCTCCACCACGAGGCTGTGCTGTGTTTCTGCTGTTCAACATGTTTTTACTTCCACTGCACAGAAAACACAGATGCACACACACACATCACAAAATCAGATTTTCACTGGGGGAGCTGCAGTAGCAGTGGGTAACTCATTCTCTCCTATGTGTGTGTTTCTTTCTGCAAAGTGTGAGTGTGATGTGTTTAGCTGGTGGGAGGGCAGGGAGGAGGAGGAGGAGGTGGCAGCAAGGACTGAATGAACATCACAGAAAACCAGGGACACTCACCTTCCTCTGTCCTGTCGCTGGCACCTCTGTCTTTAGGTTCCTCTCTGTCGAACTGTTTCTCTTTCTCTCTCTGATGTCCACATTCCCTCTTCTCTCTCCATCTCTGTTTTGCCCTGTGATCTCTCTCTCCCCGTCTCTCACAGATATTTTCTATTCTCTTTAGTGCTGACATCACAAGAAAACCCTCACAGATCCAGTTCTGCTGCGTGTCATGTTCACGGTTGAACTCTGAGTTTATGTCGTTCTTTTGTGGGCAGAACAAGATTCATGCCTGTGAAACCTCAGTCATAACTTGTGGAGAGAAAAACAAAACTGCCATTGTGACAGGGAGACTCTCCGAATTATGTAACAGTTGTCTTTTTGAAGGCACAAGAAGACGAGCAGCCAGACGCTCATTGTAGTCGGCAGCAGAAACAGACAGGTAAAATTAGAGAACTGCAAATATGTAAATGTCCACACTCAAATGAATATATCTAGTTGTGAGTTCACCATCAGGGCACTCACACACAGAAGTTTACATACACTTAGGCTGAAGTCAGTAAAACAGATTTTTAACCATGTACATATGTATGACACAGGTACAACCCCAAATCAGAAAACGTTGGGACAATATGTAAAATTAAAACATAAAATAATGATGTGTAAATCATCTGTATCCTGTATTATATTGAAAACAATAGAGCAGCATATTATTTAATGTGATACCTCATCAGTTATTTATTTATTTATTTTTAAATAAACCCTCATTTCATTTCTGATGCTGCAACACATTCCAGAAAAAGTTGGGATGGTTGCATTTCAGGGCCAGTGATGAGGTAAAACAGTGAAATGATTCCATTAGAAACAGGTGATGTCAACAAGTGACTACAATCATGATTTGGTACAAAAGCGGCATCCAGGAAAGGCCGAGCCCTTTAGGAACAAAGATGGGCTGAGGACCACCAGTTTGCCAACATATGTGTGAGAAAATTATTGAAATGTTTAAAAACAATGTTCCCTAAAAAATGATAGGAAGGGATTTGGATATGTCACCGTCTACGGTGCAGAACATCATTAAAAGGTACAAGGAACCTGAGGGATTTAAGTGCGTAAAGGGCACAAGCCTAAGCTGGATGACCGAGCTCTCTGATCCTTCAGACGACACTGCATCAAGAATCGTCACTCTCCTATAAGCAATATAACCACGTGGGCTCAGGATTACTTTGGCACACCTGTGTCAGGCACTACAATATGTAGTTACATCTATAAATGCTGCTCAAAACTTTACTGTGCCAAAAGGAAGCCCTATGTCAACAGTGTCCAGAAGCTCTGGGCTCAGAGACATCTGGGACGGACCATCACAGTGGAAACATGTACTGTGGTCAGATGAATCAGTGTTTCAGATCTTTTTTGGAAGAAATGGACACTATGTGCTCCAGACCAAAGACCATAAGGACCATCCAGACTGTTACCAGCAACAAGTCCAAAAGCCAGAGTCTGTCATGGTCTTGGGTTGTGTCAGTGCCCTTGGCAAAGGTCACTTACACGTCTGTGATGGCTCCATTAATGCTGAAAAACACAGAGATGTTGGAGCAACATATGCTGCCTTCAAGACGACATCTTTTCCAGGGAAAGCCATACATCTTTCAACAAGACAATACAAAACCTTATACTGTACATTACCAAGGTCTGACTGTGGAGGACAAGGGTGTGAGTGCTGGACTGGTCTGCCTACAGTCCCAAAATGTCCCTAGTAGAGAATGTGTGGCACATTTTGAAATGCAAATTGTGTCAACGAAGACCCAGGACTGTTGTGCACTTTAAGCCTTGTTTGCAGGAAGAACAGGACAAAATGACACCTGACACATTTAATCACTTGGTGTCCTCAGTCACTAAACGTCTTTTAAGTGTTGTGAAAAAGGCAAAATCACACTGTGGTAAATGTTTTACTGTCCCAGCGTTTTTTGGAACGTGTTGCAGCATCAGAATTGAAGTGTGTTTATTTTGAACAAAGAATCAAACTGATGAGGTATCACATCAAATAATGTGCTGCTGTGTTGTTTACAATGTCATACAGACACAGATGGTTTAATTCAATTTTATTTGTATAGTGCCAAATCACAACAAAAGTCATCTCAGGACACTTTACAAAGTAAGGTCTAGACCTTACTGTTATCACTATTATAACAGAGGAAAAACCCAACAAATCCCCCTCGACCAGCACTTGGTGACAGCAGTGAATAAAAACTCCCTTTAACTGAAGAAACATCCGACAGACCCTGGATTTTGGTGGGTGGCCTTCTGTCTCGACCGGTTAGGGTGAGTGGATAAAGGAGAGAGAGAAGAAAGCAACAAACAAAACAAACAATCAAACACTGGGCAGGTTGATGTGGCCGGTGACTGTTCAGAGACGTAGAGCTCCAGAGCAACCTGCAGAAAGGTACAGGGAGAGAGAGAGAGAGGACATAGTCACATGTAATGGCGACATATAGATGAATGGACAGAGGAGGAGAGGGGAGCCCCCTGCCATAAACATAAACTTTATCAAAAAGGAAAGTCTTAAGTCTAATCTTGAAGGTGTCAGGGTGTGGAACTCGCTTACTGTTTGGTGCTTTTATTTTGGTTAGTTTCCTGTCCTGTGTTACCTCACCTGCCCCAGCTTTACTCCATCTGCAATCAACACTCATGACATTCACCTGGCAGCATCATGTTGTGGGGGTGCTTTGCCACAGGAGGGACCGGGGCACTTCACAAAATGGATGGCA